TCTATTTTGTACTAAAATAAAAACATGGTTCAATTAGTCTAATACACTAACCCCTTCTTTTAAATCCCAAATTTTGGGTTCTCACATTCTCCCACACATCAAAAAATTTAAACCTCGAAAATTAGACTTACAAGAGAACAAGTGAGGATAAGACTCCCTCATGACTCCCTCTAACTCCCAGGTAGAGTCACCAGTTCTATTATCCCAGACAACTTTGACTAGACTGATGGTTTTGCCTCTAAGTTGTTTATTCTAGCTCTCCACAATCCTGATAGACAACACCTCCACGGATAGATCTTCTCTGACTTGAACATTTTCAGCTTCTAGAACATGAGACGGATCAGGCACATACTTCCTAAGCTGTGAGACATGAAACACTAGATGAAGGTTTGCAAGCTGGGGTGGCATGACTATCTCATAGGCAACTGATCCTATACGTCTCAGGATCTGATAAGGACCAAGGTACCTAGGAGATAACTTCCTAGCACGAATAGCTCTTCCTACTCCGGTAGTAGGAGTCACTCGGAGGAATACATGATCCCCAACTACAAACTCCAAGGGTCTACGTCTCTGATCAGCATAGGACTTTTTTCTACTATGAGAAGCCCACATCTGCTCTTGAATGAGCTTCACCTTCTTTGTAGTTTGCTGTATCAACTCTGGCCCTATTAACACATATTCTCCCTTTTGAAACCAACACAAAGGTGTTCTGCAGCGTCTTCCATACAGGGCTTCAAACGGCGTCATACCAATACTGGCGTGATAGTTGTTGTTGAAGGTGAACTCCACCAATGACAACACTTCATCCCAGACTCCCAAGTGATCCAAAACACATGTCCTCAGCAAGTCCTCAAGTGATTGGATTGTCCTTTCTGATTGGATTGTCCTTTCTGATTGCTCATCAGTCTGGGGATGATACGCTGAACTCATATGAAGCCTACTGCCTATCTCACTCTGAAGTGTTTGCCAAAAGCGGGATGTGAACCGCAAATCTCTATCTGATACGATGCTAGAAGGCACTCCATGCAGTCTCACAATCTCCTTGATGTACAACTACGCCAGCTTCGACATCGACATCCTCAAATTAATCGCCAAGAAATGAGCACTCTTGGTCAACATGTCCACAATCACCCAGATCACATCATGACCTCTAACCATCCGTGGTAAATAGGTAACAAAATCCATGGCTATGCTATCTCATTTCCACTCGGGTATCTCAAGCTGCTGCAACAAACCTCCCGGTCTCTGATGCTGTATCTTAACCTTCTGACAAGTTAGACAAGAGGCAACAAACTGAGATATATCTCTCTTCATACCCGACCACCAGAAATACTCCTTGAGGTCTTGATATATTTTAGTCATGCCAGGATGCATGCTAAAACGACTCTGATGACCATTCGCAAGAAACAATCTCTTTAACTCTGAATTGCTAGGGACACAGACCCTGCTTCTAAATCGCATAATGCCATAAGCCCCCAAGGTAAAATCTTTACCTTGCTCAGTCCCAATCAAACCCGCTGACTTCTGGAGCTCAACATCTTTTAACTGCTCTTCTTTGACAAGCCTCAACAAGTCATTGGACACCACCAAATTACTGTATCTGATACTATCAGCTTCAAATTCCACCTGTAATCTCAAATCTCTGAAACTTTCCACTAGCTCTAACTCTTTGACCATCAACGCATAAACATGCACTGACTTCATGCTCAATGCATCTGCCACCACATTAGCTTTCCCAGGGTGATAGAGGGTATCAAAATAAAAATCTTTAAGAAACCTCATCCATCGTCTTTGACTCATATTAAGTTCCTTCTGATCAAAGAGGTACTTCAAGATCTTATGATCACTGAATACCTTAAACTGTGCACCATACAGGTAGTGCCTCCAAATCTTCAAAGCAAAGACAACAGCTGCCAACTCCAAGTCATGAGTGGGTTAATTCTTCTCATGAGCTTTGAGTTGTCTTGATGCATAGGCAATCACTTTCTTTTCCTGCATCAGCACACACCCTAACCCCTGATGAGAAGCATCATAGAAAACATCAAAAGGTATACCTGTGTCAGGGATAACCAAAATTGGTGCACTGGTCAACCTTTGTTTTATCTCTTGAAAGCTAGTCTCACAGACGTCTGTCCAAACAAAAGGTTGATCCTTCCTAGTCGGCTCCTTCAACGGCGCCATAATTCGCGCAAAAGCTCTTAGAGCTAGAGTTTGACAAAAACAAGAAGAAGTACGTTTCTAGTTACATGCAACCAGCAGAGATTGCATGTGCTAGGTCCAAGAACGAAGAAGAGACTGCATGCAGGGACTTACTAGCCTAAGACCCGAAATGAATCGGTCCGTTTCGAAGCCCTCTACGTTGTGGACGTTTGGGCGCCACCTGATCGGAGATCCAATGACTCAGTAAAGAGGAATGGAAGAGAGAAGACATAGATATGGTAGAGAGAAGGCAGAGAAAAGAGGAAAAGTTAAGTTCTAGAGATAGTGAAAATAGCTAATGAATCAAGTTGTTCAGAAATCTATTTTGTACTACTAAAATAAAAACCTGGTTCTATTAGTCTAATACACTGACCCTTCTTTTAAATCCCAAATTTTGGACTCTCGCATAAAACATTATTTAAAATATAATTTTAAATGTATTATTACATTACATGTCTCTAATTTCCATGTCTATGTGTTTTTTAAAAGCGTTTTAAGGTATCCGATTTTAATTAAAAATCAATATAATTTATTTTTACATGTTAAAACTTAAATTTTATACCATTTTAAATTGTACATTTGACACATTATTTGTTTAGGTGATGATATCTTTGGTTTAAATCAAAATTTGATAATATTTAATGTTAGACGTCAATATATTTTGATCGTGTTGTTTTTAAAACATAAAAATATTTTATTGTTATAACATCTCATTTTAACAAATTATTACCATAAAATAATATTATAAAATTAATAAAACAAAATAAATTATATATATATATATATATATATATATCAATTAAAGATAATTGTGTTAACTACTAGAAACTAAAGAATACTACTTTGCATCATCGTCGTCTTTCATATGTTTACACTCATCTACAAAATGCAATAAATCATATACATAGTTGACATGAGACTCAATTATCTCAATATATGTTTTTGACATAGTAACTCACTCGAGGTGTGTACTACTAGTGGTTTCTAAGCTCCATAGAGCCATAGCCTCAAATGGCTACCACTCAACCACACACAAGGTTAATTTCCTTTACGCCTAAAATAAGATAAAATCAATAAACTGTGACCTTCTACTACTCTTCACCAAGTAACACATTATACTTTATTTGAGTGTGAATGATTATTAGAACATTAGAATATCTTCCTATTGATCTCATGTGTCAATGGATACACTATCAAGACAAAGAATTTCTTCTTGAAGTCGTCTTCAACAACATCACCATACATGTCCACAATCATATTATCACATCAATTGATAATACACAATATTATAACATACATATCACAAATCTATCTCAAACAACCAAAGAAGAAAACATGTACAATCATAAAAACTAACACACAAATTTGGCGCTTAGCATCAAAGCTTTAGCAAACAGTGGTGCTTATCGACATTAATAACGCTAAACACCATTCTTCTTGCAAAGTTTTCACTCAGCGCACTTTCTAGCACTCAGATTAAGGCGTGTAATACAAAAGATGACGTTCAATAGTGTTCTATACCACTCAACACCAAAACATTCACAAGAAGTGGCGCTCAATGGTATAGTCTGCCACTCAGTACCCTAGAGCTAAAATACTCACAAACTTGCAACACAAATTGACACTCAACACTAATTGGATTTTATGATTTTAAGCAAACTTTAACCTAATTAGTTGCTCAAATTGGTATTCTTTTCTTGCATTGATTCAAAACAATTTTAAACATAAAAACTTTCAATCACACAAACCAAAACACAAAATCATGAACCAATAACTAAATTTAAAATAATCATACATAACAATCAAATTCATCATCATGCAAATCATCAAATTATCAAACTCATGTACACCAAAACCATTAGCATCCCCTACCTGATCAATAACTTACAAGATTCTAACTACTAAAACTCTTCCAAACTTGCAAGATGTTTTATCTACACATAAAAACATCACAAAAAGAATAAAAACATATTGTTATAATCATTAATCAGTAGAAACTCATATATATGACTAAAACAATGCATGTAAGTAGAAGAACACTCACCGTATATCATATAATAGAAAAATACTGAAAAAAAAGGATTGAAATTCAACTTATGCGAACTAAAAGACTAATCCGTCTAAATTAAAAAGCTTATAAGAGATATCAATCTTATATTCTCGATTTTTCAATGAGGCTATCAAAGAAAAAATACTAGTGAATTAAGTTAAAAAAAGTGATTTTTATAAATATGTTTCGGTTTAAAATAATAAAAATTATTTGTAATACAATTATTTATATTAAAAAAAATTAATATAAAACTATTTTTAAACTATTATGATTTCTAAAATATTATTTTCTAATTGTTTATTATTAGTAACTACAATTATATATATATATATATATATATATATATATATATATATATAAATATAAAAGCAAGCATATTGATTTAAACACATGATTTTTTTTAACAAATTTAAACACATTTATTTAAGTTATAATAGAAAATTATATTTAAAAATAATAGAAATTGAAAATTGATTATAATTTTGAAGACTTTTTGTTGACATTTTGTTGAATGAGAGTGCAAGTATGATTATAATTATTACATAGGAGAAGGGTAAAACAGTAAAGTGGGAAGGGCGTTTACTGCTGGCGTAAATAACGGCCGAAAAATGGGCACTTTGATTACCCGAGAGGCCCATACAGAAAAGCTGATTGACGAAAAATAAAAAAATAAATAAAAAAGTGAAAGATACGAAAAAAGAATAAAAAAAAAACAAAAGGAAATATTATATGGGCGGAATCGAAAGGAGTTTGAAATATGGTTTTTTGAGAAACGCTGAGATCCGGTTCCACACTTTCTCTCTCTATCTCTATCACCTTCTCTCTCTTCCCCCCCTCTCTCTCAAGGTTCTCTTTGTCCCTTATCACCTCACGTTCTCACTTTCTTGCCCCCATACAGGTTTTCCACCAGCCAAGAAACGGATAGGAAATTTTCAGAGGCACCACCGTTCAGAGAGCACATCAGAACAAGACTCTCTTTCTCTCTCTGTCTTTCTCTCACTCTCAGCTACATGGCCTCACTCTTCGATCTGAATCCACGTCTCTGAACTCATTCCGTCGCCGTTTAATCCCTTTAACCTCTCCAATCTACGCTTTCTTTATATTACCGTGTACGAGCTCCGCGGAAGCCCTAAATTGCTGTGCGGCGCGCCGATTAGGCTGCCGCGTTTGGTATCGTGTTCGATCTCGCCGAACGGCGTCGTGTGGCTCAGCCCTGCGAACCCTAGGTCGTTGGATCTGGAGGCGGAGGTCGCGTTCGCGGCGCTGCGGTTTGCTTTACGGTGAACCCTAGGTTTTTTTTCTGTGGCTGCCCATGCTATTGGGTTGGTTTTGATGCCGCCTGAACCATTGCCTTGGGATCGAAAGGACTTCTTCAAGGAGAGGAAGCACGAGAGGTCTGAGTCACTTGGGTCAGTCGCCAGATGGAGGGATTCCTCGCACCACCGCGACTTCAATCGCTGGGGATCCGCCGAGTTTCGCAGACCGCCAGGTGAGTTTTCAATCCTTCTTTTCATTCGTTCCTAATTTCTTTTTGAGTTAAGGTCTTCTACCCCGGAACACGCCGGAATAGGCGCTCCTTGGTGTTTTGTTTAGGTTTTGTTGTTTTCTTTCTTGGTGGGAGTTTCTGAGTGGTTTATGATTTTGAGGGATTGTTCATTTTGCATATTTGGTGCGTTGTTGAGGGTGAACCTTGGTTTATTTTTTGAAGATCTGTGCCTGCTGTTATTGGAATATTTTAGGCAAGCTTTTAATAGGGTTTTCTTTTTTCGCTAGTTTTCTGTGTTCGTTTTTCTTTGTCTATGGCTTTCTGGGTGCGATAATATATACTTTGCTTGTTTTGATTTTTTTTGTATTTTTCTTTTTTTGTTTGAATATTTTCTGAAGGGCATGGTAAGCAGGGCGGTTGGCACCTGTTTTCTGAGGACTCAGGTCATGGGTATGCAATTTCTCGGTCAAGCAGTGACAAGATCCTTGAGGAAGATAGTAGGCCCTCGATTTCACGAGGTGATGGGAAGTACGGCAGGAGCAGCAGGGAAAATAGAGGACCCTTTGGTCAGAGAGATTGGAGAGGGCATTCGTGGGAACCCTCCAATGGTACCGTGAATTTACCCAGAAGGCCGCAGGATATGAACAATGATCAGAGGGCTGTGGACGACGCCCTAGGATACTCTTCTCATCCACATTCCGATTTCGTGAACTCTTGGGATCAGCATCATCTTAAAGACCAGCATGAGAAGATAGGTAGTGTCAATGGGTTGGGAACTGGCTCCAGAAGTGACAGAGAGAACTCTCTGGGTGACTGGAAGCCGCTTAAATGGACCCGTTCTGGAAGCTTGTCTTCTCGAGGCTCGGGTTTTAGCCACTCAAGTAGCTCAAGGAGCATGGGAGCAGCGGATTCGCATGAAGAGAAGGCTGAGTTGCAACAGAAAAGTGCAGCTGCTAATGAGTCACATTCAGGGGAAGCCGCTGCTTGTGCGACATCTTCTGTGCCATCTGAAGATACGGCTTCTAGAAAAAAGCCAAGGCTGAATTGGGGCGAGGGACTTGCAAAGTATGAGAAGAAAAAAGTCGAGGTGCCTGATGCAAGTGCAAACAAAGATGGTCCTGTCTTGTCTGCTAGTATCACCGAACCTTGTAATTTCCTCAGTACCAGCTTGGTTGACAAAAGTCCAAAAGTTACAGGATTTTCTGAATGTGCATCACCTGCAACTCCATCTTCTGTCGCCTGCAGTTCCTCTCCTGGTATGTTGCTAGACGTTGTCTATTTCTATTCTAAATCCTGCTTTGAATGATGTATTTGAAAATTGCAAATTGATGAAGGGTTTACTATTTGCATTGCAGTAACATGCGTTATATCTATGTATATAGAATTACAGTGATGTGTACTGTGATAATATGAGGTTTGAATTGGTATTTCATACAGACTTGTGGTGGAATAGTAGTCAGATATCTGGCTAGACAATTCTCTATGTTTCATTTTTGTTTACTACACGTGTTTCTCTGTCGATTAGGTTTCTCCTTTTACAAGTATTTCCCCTGACTCTATCTTTTTATTGTGCGTAATATCTCGCATATATGTTCCTTTATGAGATCCATTTTCTATTGAGTGTCCCCCTTGACACTCTTAGGTACTCCAGTCCTTTAGTGCATGTGCTTTTTTGTTCATTGTTTGCTAATTTAGATGGTTTTTTTACTAAAAAGTTTTATGTACAGAAAATACCGTCAGGTAATATTTTGAAAACGTTTGTAAAGTGTAATGTTTCTTGAAAAACTTGATTGTTACTGAGTAGGGCCTAAAAGTTACTTAAAACATAAAATGTCTGTAAAATGTCGGTTTATCAATGTAGGTAAGAATCAACATTTCAGCAGTTGCATGCTGCTCGAGGTTTTTTTACTATATTTGAGACCATGTTTCTTGAACATTTGTGTTCCGGCTTTTGTTTTCCTTACTGTTATTTTAACATTTTCCTCTTAGCTTAGATGAAAAATGCCAACTAGGATATTCCCCTCGTTTTTCTTGTAGTACTGTAATTGTTATATTTTATTTGTACATATTTCCCTTGTGTAGAAAGCTAACATCAATCTTTTTACCAGGTATGGATGATAAATTATTCGGAAAGACTACAAATGTAGACAATGATGTTAGTAATTTGACTTGTTCACCCGCTCCTTTGTCTGAAAATAATTTGCAGAGGTTTTCCTTTAACTTAGAGAAATTTGATATGGGCTCCTTGAATAATTTGGGTTCTTCAATTATTGAGCTGGTACAATCTGATGATCCAACTTCTGTAGATTCTGGTCCAATGAGGTCCAATGCAATTAATAAGTTACTGATATGGAAAGCTGACATTTCAAAGGTGTTGGAGAAGACCGAATCTGAAATAGATTTACTTGAAAATGAACTGAAGTCGCTGAAATCTGAATCTGGTGTTACATGTCCATTTGCGGTATCCCTGGGCTCCCAGATGGTAGGTAGTGGTGAAAAATCCTTTGAAGGACATATTGGAGTCTCTGATCAGGTCACCCGGCCGGTACCGTTGAATATTGTTGATGATGCCAATACAGAGAAGGTGCCATTCTCAACTAATTTACATAGTGTTCATGAAAATGTAAAGGAAGAGGATATTGATAGTCCTGGAACAGCTACTTCTAAATTTGTTGAGGCTCCGCCTGTTTCTTGTGGTACTGGAGGAGGATATGTTAATTTCTCCCAGGACTTGGATTCTGTTCCATCTGCAGCTGTGAAATACTTAATTCCCTGTACTGCTAGGAAAGATGTTATTGTACCTTGTGTTGATGGCAAGACTTCTTTGGAGGTAAATGATAGCATGGATATTTTATGTGGTACAATTATTTCTTCCAATAAAGAATCTGCCAACAAAGCTAGTGAGGTGTTTGATAATTTATTGCCCAAAGATTGTTGTAAGATTGGGAGGATGGGAACCAGCAGTGACACATGCAATCAGACCTTGATTAGGGAAAAGTTTGTTGAGAAAAAGCGACTTGCTAGGTTTAAGGAGAGAGTTATTGCACTTAAGTTCAGAGCTTTGCATCACTTGTGGAAAGAAGATATGCGTTTACTTTCTATCAGGAAATGCCGACCAAAATCTCACAAAAAGAATGAACTAAGTGTTCGAACTACCTGTAATGGTAACCAGAAGAACCGATCATCCATTCGATCACGTTTTCCCTTTCCTGGTATGGATATTTTCAAGTTTTTTTGTTTGTCCCAGTGATTTTGTGGTCTTTCTAAGCTTGATTGATTAGTTCAGCTAGTAAAATATATATTTTTTATATCGGAATAAGCTTTGCTAATGTTTCAAGAAGGTGGTTAGTTTTCTATTGTAGTTTGGATTTTTTGAAAAAGAAAAAAATGTTAATTTTGATGCTATTAATCCGCTGTATTTTTGCTGCTTACTTGCTTGGTTTTATATATTCCCGTGTTCAGAGTAGAATAGTAACCCCCAGTCCGATGTTTCTTGGCTGTTTGTAAAGTAAGTCGGAAGGTTTAAGCTCAGGCAAAATGAGTGGCTTTAGGTTTGGATAGCTTCACTAATTTTTGTTGGTCTGATTAGTTAGTGAAATTAACTATATCCATGCATAGGGTTTAGACTACTTTTCTGGCAGTTCACACATGTCATACTGTGTAGTATCTTGTTAGTCATGACTAATTTGAAAAGTCGAAACTAATTGTGGCTAGTAAGCAATCTAAACATGCATACCTGAAAAGTCTGATTGTAGATATGGTGATTTATTTTGTGAATTAAAATTAATAATTGAATAAAAATCTTTTCCAGTGTATTCAATTATATGACTTCTTGTTTAGAACATATTTTGTCTTGATAGGGATTGACTTGTACATGTGAAGTGAAGGGCATCTGTTCAGTGTATTATTCTATATTTATCACCAAACATTCAGGATTATTTAGTGATCGTGCTGTAACACAAGTTATCTTCAATGTTTAATTGTGTTATCTGTGATAATTTTAACTTGCGCACGACATCTTATAGTTTGTTCATTTCTTAATTTATTTGCCTTTATGTTTTGATAATGATCATGCTTTCTTTTTTTCCTCCTTTCTTCTGTCGGCAGCAGGAAATCATCTGAGCTTGGTTCCAACATCAGAGATTATTAATTTTACAAGCAAACTGCTTTCAGAATCTCAAGTTAAAGTGCAGAGGAACACTTTGAAGATGCCGGCATTAATTTTGGATGAAAAAGAGAAGACGATTTCAAAGTTTGTAACTAGTAATGGGCTGGTTGAAGATCCATTGGCTATTGAGAAGGAAAGGTCTTTGATTAATCCTTGGACACCACAAGAGAGAGAAATTTTCTTGGAGAAATTTGCTGTCTTTGGAAAAAATTTTAGGAAAATTGCTTCTTTTCTTGACCACAAGACAACTGCTGACTGTGTTGAATTCTACTACAAAAATCATAAATCTGATTGTTTTGAGAAACTTAAGAAGCAAGATGTTGGTAAGCTGGGGAAGACATTTTCAGCTAAAACTGACTTGGTGGCATCAGGTAAAAAATGGAATCGTGAATTGAATGCTGCTTCCCTTGAAATTTTGAGTGCAGCTTCGCTGATGGCAGGTGGCATTGCAGGTAATAAAAAAATCCGTGCAGGAAGCTCACTTTTGGGTGGATATGGTAAAGTAAAGACGTCGAGGGTTGAAGACTTCATTGAGAAATCAGGCAGTTTTGACATTCTTGGGGATGAAAGAGAGACTGCTGCTGCAGCTGATGTATTGGCAGGTATATGTGGTTCTCTTTCATCCGAGGCTATTGGTTCCTGCATAACAAGTTCTGCCGATGCAGTAGAAGGTAGCAGGGATAGGAAGTTCCTGAAAGTAAACCCTTTATACAAGCTGCCCTTGACACCAGATTTAACTCAGGATGTTGATGATGAGACTTGTTCGGATGAGAGCTGTGGTGAAATGGATGCTACAGACTGGACTGATGATGAGAAGGCTGCCTTTCTTCAGGCTGTATCTTCTTTTGGGAAAGATTTTGCCAAAATAGCTCGATGTGTTGGGTCAAGGTCCCAAGAACAGTGCAAAGTTTTCTTCAGCAAAGGCCGCAAATGTCTTGGATTAGATCTCATGCGCCCAATACCTGAAAATGTTGGATCCCCAGTGAACGATGATGCAAATGGGGGTGAGAGTGACACTGATGATGCATGTGTCGTGGAGACAGGCTCGATGGTTGAAACTGAAAAGTCTGGCACTAAAACAGATGAGGACCTGCCTTTTTATGGAACAAAAACATTCAATGACGATTCCAATCCTGTGCAAGCTAGGAACATGTCTGCAGAATTAAATGAATCAAAGGGGACTGATGGGACTGAAATAGATATTGAAGATGCAAATGTGGTTTCTGATGCATGTGCAATTGATATTGATTCTAAACTGGGCTGTGATGTTAGTAAATTTGCCTTGTGTGGTTCTGTCAGTGGACAAACAACTGTAATCATGTCGAATAGCACAGAAATTAGAAGAGATAAAGCTAATAAATTGAAATCTGTTCCAGATACAAGTAGTGAACCATGAGAGATTAATTCTTTTGTTGAGGATAGAATGGTGGTTTCCGAGGTGTCTTCGGGAAGACCTGGTAATGAATTGGAGAGGCAGAGAGTGTCTTCACCCCGATGTCTTGATGATAGAGATAGTAAACAAGAAGCTGATTCGGGTGTCATAGTTGATTTGAAAAGCCCTGTGCACATTCTAAGCACTATGGTAAATGCTCCCGTCTCGTCATTTGGAAATTCCTGTTCAGGATTGACTTCTAGTACTGAAAATAAGCACGTACCCATTGGACAGCCTCATACCTCACCGTTGTCTGTGGACGAACATCAAGCATCTTCAAATTCATTTTTACAAAATACTGTTGCTTCTGATATTCAGTGTGAGAAAACAGCTAGCCAAGATAGACTATCTTCTACCTGTGATATTCAGGTTAGCACGGATGAGCAGCCCCCTATTACTGGGATTTCATCAGACCATGTTGATACCGGAAGTATTCTCCAGGGCTATCCCATGCAAGCTCCCATTAAGAAGGAGATGAATGATGATATGAACTGTAGCAGTTCAGCAGCAGAATTGCATCTTTTGTCCCAGAAGATTGAACAGCCTGATGATCAAACCAAAAAATTACAGTCGTTGGATTCAGATAAAACATCCAGAAATGGTGATGTCAAACTTTTTGGGAAGATACTAACCAATCCTTCATCAACACAGAAACCTAATGTGGGTGCTAAAGGTAGTGAAGAAAATGGTACCCACAATCATAAGTTCAGCAAACCTTCTGGTGTGAAATTTACCGGACATAATGCAGATGGGAATTTGAAAATTTTGAAGTTTGACTGTAATGATTATGTTGGCCTTGAAAATGTTCCCATGAGGAGTTATGGTTATTGGGATGGGAACAGAATACAGACTGGACTCTCTTCTTTGCCAGATTCTGCTATCTTGCTAGCAAAGTATCCTGCAGCCTTCAGTAATTATCCCACACCTTCTGCCAAATTGGAGCAACCGTCATTGCAAACATTTTCCAAGAATAATAATGAACAGCTCCTAAATGGCAGTAATGCCGTGATTGATTATCAGATGTTTAGAAGGGATGGTCCGAAAGTGCAGCCATTTATGGTAGATGTGAAGCACTGCCAGGATGTATTCTCTGAGATGCAGAGAAGAAATGGTTTTGAAGCAATCTCAAGTTTACAGCAGCAGAGCAGGGGAGTGATGGGAATGAATGGGGTTGGAAGACCGGGGATTCTTGTGGGAGGATCGTGCAGTGGTGTCTCAGATCCTGTGGCAGCAATCAAAATGCATTATTCCAATTCTGACAAGTATGGTGGTCAGTCTGGGAGTATTGCAAGAGAAGATGAATCATGGGGAGGGAAGGGGGATTGAGCGGCAAACACCTCTTTTTGCCGCCCTCTGTATTATAGTTTTTGTTATTGCTTAATACAGTGTAGGGCGATTTAATGGTTCTCAAGCCCGTCTTTTTGGTAAAATATTTAGGTGCTTGTAATATGGCAGCAGCTTTGTATTTGTTGTATTGGATGAAAATACAGAAATAATCTCTGAAAAGGTTAGGAGGGGCGATTGCCATTACCATTGCCAAATTCTGGATCCTTGCCGTCTCCCTACTCATTTTGACGATCTTTTCGAGCTTCTGGATCCTTCCAGAGAGATGGCCTTTACAGATCAGATGCTTTATTTCAACTCTGCCCGTAGTTACTTTATTTCGGTAGGCATTGACTCTGCGGCGTTTCTAATTGTAGAATTAGGGAATTCGGTATAAATAAGTGTTGAGTTACTGGTTATTCAGCTTCATCCAATCATGCAGAAATTTTTTGACACTGTTTCGGACAAATTCTGCAATCAATTCCATCCACCTTCAATCAGTTTCTAATCAAATAGTAAGTCTCATAAATTTTAACAAATATGTTGAGCAATTGGAGGTCATTATCATTCAGTGAAACAATTTCGTGAAGAAAATGAGGGTTTGTTGAGATATCAAGTAGTTGTGTTTGATAGAACTTTTGAATACAAATGTTGGCAAGGAAGATAACACGTCGTTACTTTGGCTTCATACATCTTTCACTTAAACATCTTGAAAAGTCTGCTCCATACTAGCAATTTCCTTTGCCTCTTCAGGTGTCTGGAGGGTAGAAGGAAGCGGTGCAGTGATTTCAATTATCTGCAAGAACCCAGAGTTAAATTTGCAACCGAAACGAAGAATTATTACACCCAAATATCAACTAAGTATAAAAAGCCATATTACTACTAGCGGAATTATTTTACAGGAAGGTATCCACGTATAGATAACAACATCCTGAAGAAACCTCTGTTTTGAAGGGCATGACTGTAAATTAAACTGCTTCATGAGCTGTTTTTCAAATAATATACACAAATGGAAAATGCATAAATTAAGTGTAAATTTTGACACTTCAATCAACTGATTATAATAGTTTCAAAAATCCAATTTATTTCAATAATCAGCCAAAAAATTATGTCATAAATTTTTAGATTCACAGAAATGATTCCATATAAAACATAGCAAATAATTTTCGATGTACCTCGTTAGTTAATGGATGAGACAGAACCAATTTATGTGCATGCAAGTTATACCCACAATCTCCAGGAACTGCTTTTGTAGGCCTTTGATAACCCCTACACAAGGAACAGCCGAAAGAATTTAAGGAGTAAAGGGGCAATCTGGAATTGAATAATTGAGACTAAAACTAAGTATCATATCTAAAATTGAATGTCAAACACACTTTTAAGTTTGGTCGCATAATATAAACACAGTTCTATTTAAATATCACAATGCCGACACAGAAGCTAATCCCCTAGCATACATATACTTGTATTTAAGAGGGAAGCAGTCTATATTCCAGAACACTGCACTTAGAAGTTACTTGGATTCATTGTAAGTTTCTTCTGTTAGAGTTCGATATACAAGTGAGATGAAGGAAAGTTCATTTCCCAAGACAAAATTGATATTATTTAATACCGTTGGAAAATCGTGTTAAGTGAATGATTCTCGAAAACCTATAAAGCATTTACCCATCTTCAGCAAAACTCTCATCTATAGAGTCACAATCTAAGCATTTAGGTTTCCCGCCGACATCATACAGGGGATCACCTGCAAATAAACCAAAGGAAAAATATAATGTAGTCAGACAAGACTAACGAGAAGAATGGCTATGCCCCAATAAAAACAGGTTACACAGAAGTTGGAACGTGCATCAAATTGAAACCTCAACAAATAATCATTTCATTCTCCATATTAAGTTGGCGTTGGCTTTGTTAAATTTAAAGTTTGAAAGCAAAAATGAAATATTTCCAGAAAACATATTTACTAGAGGGGTAGAAATTGAAATTTATTTATTTATTTTTTTAAATTTTATTTTAGTGGTGTACATCGTATATGAATTCTAGCTTTATTATTTTACGTGGAGCATGAACAATTTAGGATTAAATATTTACCTAACAGAGGATGCCCCATGAAAGAAAGATGAATACGGATTTGATGTGGCCGTCCAGACTGAATCTTAACCTGACAAACAAGCCAACCAGAAGATGTTAAAGAGTCTGGATTTCTGATTTAATGTAGCATTTCTCTTTCTTTTATTGCCTCTTGAAAGGGATTCACAATGGGCTGAGTATAAGTGAAACTTTGGGCAGCAAAACGATTACATGTTGGAATATAAGCAAATAATTTTTGAATGACTATTCCCAGAGTAAATTTGATGTGACATCAGTGAACATTGAATAATATCTATGAACAGAGCAATGCTGCAATTTTGTTAATTAAACCCACTCTAATGCATACTATTTTTTACCTTTTTTTTAGAGATTTAGTTTCATTGTTTTTGTATAAATACATTGTACCCTAACATTGTAAAACCATCGAAAAAATATTATCTATCAGAAATAATATTTTACTTTTCTTCTATTTAAAAAATTACCAACATTTTATATGATGTTTATCAATGCTCAAGTATTAAAATAATGGTATTTTTTGTTAATGTTTTTACTGATAAAAGTGTCTTACAAAGTAATTTAATTTAATTTTAATTTAACTTTGCAAAATCGATTTGTTAAATGAAAATTGTTTTTATTTATATACTTAATTTTGATACTATTTTCAGTGGATGTGAGTCTTGGGTGGGTCATTTCTAGGATCCCAGGTTCACTTGGTTGTCATAAATGATGTGGTCCTGAGCATGAAATTCAGCTACCTGGACCAATGTGCTGTTTTCTTGTACGTTTCTCTCCAGAATGCTCACCACACTGAGTGCTGGTTTTCCTGGTCCAATGAAAACAACTAGACATGATTAGATGATCAATATTTAGAGGGAAGTCTTAGAAAGAAGAGAAATGGAAACATCATAACCAAATCAGATTAGTGGAAATCAATAAGCATAAGCATGGTTTCCTCTGGAACTCATCCATCTGAAACAAAATAGAGATTGAAAATAACCTGATTCAGAGGCAACGTATAACCCTTTAGCAACACATGGATATTTAACTACTCCAATTGGTTGATTGATAGTCACCTGTAAAGCAAAACAACCTTCAAGTTATACATGCAAAATTTCCCAAACTACAGACTCAGCATCAAATTATTCCATATAAGCACAAAATAACAACTAAATAGTCCCTTGATCTTGATAATAAACACAAGGCAAACGGATTAGTCATGATAGATATTCAAGGAACAATAACAAACCATGCTTACTCAAACGGTTACCATTTTTTTGAACAATTCAGAATTTACTAAAAGTGAAAAAGAAAGCAATAGGCAATATACAATGGAAAATCAGTTAGAAAAAGATCATGACAATGTTGAAAAGATGAAGCATCGTTAGCTCATCTGGATTCTATAACAAAAAATAATCAAAATTTTAGAAAGTTGAATCATGGGTTCTAGACATCTCTAATTTTTCCAAACTGTCAGTCTTTTTCTCCAGAAATTAACAGTCAAAAGAATTCAGTCCCCATGCAACTTCACTAAAGGTTAATATAGCTTCTAACGTAAGCCTCTGCTTTCTGCTGACTCACCTTGCTACTTATACAGCTGTTAGGCAGCTAGAATGTTAATTTCAGTTAGCTGTCAACGGCCTCACTAGAAATGTATCACACATTCTCTCTTGTGGTTAAGTTTATTCAATTACCATTCTAATTACGGAATTTTATAGCTTCAGTTTCTCCCTAAACATTTTCTTACTTGATCAATGTCATTGCCTTTGTCAAAATGCCAAATCGTGTACATTCCAGCTCATTCATTTTTTCTTTTCATTTCAAAAGGCATATATGATTGTAAGAATATAATATCTCCTGCGGTATAAATTAAATTAGAATATTACTGAGAGTTCTTGCAGCTGTTTTTAACATTCACTATGAAAAGGAAAAACGAAATATTCCATGCTTTCTTAATCTGGTACACCATTTCTGATCATTTTACTTTTACTCGGGTGGTGGGTGGGTTGGATGCAGCTTAAAAGCACTTGTTAATATTGACAAGGGGGAGTCATGTCATGTCACTTGTTAACAGTGCCTATAAAGAGAAGGGAAAAACTATGTCACCATCACCTGGTCATTCTCCACTATCCCACTCGCAAGTCCTCGGTATATCTTTGCAATCTTCCCAATTTCCGGGTTTGTATCTCTGCTTCCATAACAGCAGTGTACACAACAGCAAACAATGAGCAAACAAGGTAACTGAGTATGAAGTGCACAATTTCAACTTAAAATTTTTAACCATTTTTTTCCGTGCTCTACTTAAGTGTCTTCAACTTAAAATAAATAACAGGCTAGAAGGTAAAGCATTTCCCAAGTGAATTATAAAATGCAAAAAACAAAAAAGGTAGTCCTTTCCTAACCTTTTTCCTTCAATGTGAGAAGTTCCATCAGCAAAATAAGACGCAAGACGAACTCTGGCTAGTTTTGTCTTTGCACATAACAAAATTCCTATGATGCAATCAATCAAAATCCAAAACAATTGAAAGTATCATGGGCTAATTATTCATAACATTAGAAGGGTATTAAGAAAAGGATCTAGTCATACTTGTATAACATTTCTGGTAAGTAATGAATATAAAAATACCACTAACACTTGTAGTTAAACAATCAACTGAGCAAACGGTAATTAAGTAAACTTTTGACAACAGACAACTATGTTTTAGACAATATTAAGATAAAACCAGTTTCCTGTCAGAGTTCAAACAAGTTTTGTGATAATTAAATTTTAAACTATGCAACATATTACAGACAGAATCTACCAATTTCACTTTTCAACCAAAATATTCCGTATAACCTGAAGTTCCCCTCCCTAGACGATGTACTGGGACAGGATGAGGCTTTTTGTGCAAGTTGGCTTTCCATTGAAGCTGTGTCAAAACTGTCCTTTGCTGGAAGAGCCCTCCTGGCAGAACTTGCAAGCCAGAAGGTTTATTTAGAGCAATCTGAATTTACACCAACACCCCAATCAAAAGATTTATATTTAAGACATTCTTACTAGAATAATATGTTTTAGTAGGGGTAACAGAAACTCTGTAGTCTAAATAGCTTCCTCTAAAGATCCTCACAACTCATTTTAAACACTCATCGGAAG